TTTGTGTGTGTGTGTGTGTGTGTGTGTGTGTGTGTGTGTGTGTGTGTGTGTATGTGTGTGTATGTGTGTGTTTTTAAAGACTGGGTTGTCTATAACCCAGGTTGGTCTTGAGTTGAATAGATACAGGAGAATGAACTTAGCTCCTGACCCTCCTGCCTCCGTCTCCTTCCAAGGTTTCAGGTATGTGTACATGTCTAGTCAGATTCAAGGCTTCTTTGGGGAGGTAAAAAAAAATGTCCTGAATTTAGACTGTGGCGGTTCCTGCGAGGTCAGTGTGCTGAGTGTGAGGTGGTACACACCTCACACAGGTGGTGTTAAAATACAGCTGCTGATGAGGGGAGGCTGGGAGAGGGCTGGACACGGGTGGGCTGCAGGCCAGCGAGCACCCGATTGAAGTGGTCAGCGACACGTGGGCCTCGTTATATCCCCTCTCCCATATCCTCTGGAACTTAAAAAACACCTTTTTTTATTAGATTGATTCGTTTTATGTGTCATTGTTTTGCCTGCAAGTATGTCTGTGCACACGTGTGTGCTTGGCGCCCTCAGACACCAGAGCCCCTGGAGCTCCAGATGTTTGTAACTGTGGCTGGAGTTACAGATGTGAATCACCATGTGGGTGCTAAGAACTCAACCTGGATCCTCTGCAAGAGCAACGGTTGCTCTAAACCACTGAGCCGGCTCTTTAAGCCCCGACATTTGGAAATCTCTTAAACAATTATTTGTGGACAGGATTTACTGGTATTTCACGGAATCTGTCCCAATCCCAGGGTTCTCTCTAGAGTCCATGGGGAAGAAAGTAAAGAACCTAAACTATGCTTCAGAGGTCTCAACCCCCAGAGGCCTCCTCCGGGCCTCCTCCCTCACCTTAAACGGGCAGTCCCTGTCCCAGATCCCATTTGACCTGAGGCATTGAAGGTCAGGGACAGGCTAGAGGCTGAGGAATTTTGGGGTCCTGCATCTCTGCTGCAGGCAATAGTGAGGGATCTACTTGCTTGAGATGTAGAGGACTCTTTACCCACACTCACCGGTCACACCCACGGTGGACACAGGGCCCACACGCTGACCCTCGTGGAGTCCATACAGGTTCATCTTGTATCTGCGCCCAGCCTCCAGGTCTCTCACCACGGCCTCCCTCTCCTGGCCCCCGACACGCACCACCTGGGGCCGCCCATCACTGTCCTTGTACTGGAC